ACTTGTCCAGAAAATACAGAGAACCTGGCATTTCAGTGTATTTTAGTTAACACAGTCTTGGAACATACTGTCCTGTTCCCCCAAATAATGACCTAATACTTTGGGGGTAATACCTAGAAATTAAATCACTGTAAAAGAAAGTGTTATTAAATGTGTATCTAGAGCAGTCACTCCCCTTTTTAAGTCATATCGGGACAGCTTAGACAAGAAGGTATGAGTCACAGCATACCTCGCAATAGCTGCTGTAATTGACATGTATGTGCATGTGTAAGTAAGCACCCAGAGTGATACAGTGGACTGGGCAATAATATGTTCTGTTTGAACAGTTAAGCTAGATAAATGCTATTCAATAGGCTTTAGAATTTTTGTTTGTTGAGTGAAAACCAGGTGTGGTTAAAAATTTATAATAGGGAGCTCCCAGCCCTGTGGCATAGTTATTGAGCTTTTTATTGCCCAATCCAATTTATGACGTGGTCACCTACTCACAGAAACAAATATCAGATAAAAGTGAATAAAGTTTATATTATTAGCAAACAGAAGTGTAAGTACTTTTGTGTTGCTGTTTAATTACTGGTTTGCTTTACTGGTGATGTGACTTTGAAATGGAAAGTAACCAGCACGTCTGCTCTGGACACAACAACTACATACACATTTTTTCAGTATTTGGTGTGTGCGCCTTTTGCCTTTATTACAGATTCCATTCTTTTCAGGAGACTTGTTTTCAGTTTTTCAAAGAAATGTCTACACAAGCTTGTCATGACAACTGACATAACCCTGCATAAATGTTTATAAAGGCTTATTCCTGTAGACGTCATCTGTCATAAACACTACTTTAGCTAACTTTAATCAAAACTGCCAAATGTAACCTTTGTAGCGAATGATGCCTATTGGAATAAGTATTTATAAACATTTATGTAGGGTTATGTCAGTTGTCATGACAAGCTTATGTAGGTGTCATGTAGCCTTATGAACAGAACCCTACCACATATTCAATCATGTTGAGGTCTGGGCTCTGAGATGGCCAGTCCATTGTTCTGAGAACAACAGCAGTTTGATTTGGAAATGTTCTTTTTTGTTTATTGTCTTTGACTGGAAATCAAATAAATGAAGGGTTGTGTTTTGACTTTGCACAGTACTGTACGTCAGCAATTTTGCACTTAATGGACACAAGTTATTATAGCACACATACTACTGGATTTAATAAATTAACCCCCAACAAAATACACTTACACAACCACCTGACTCTCATTATATCACTGCATGGTTTAGAGCAGCGAACTGAATACCTATTAATTTTTACAAACTGCTCAAAGGCATTTATGTATGAGAGAGACACTCACGACATCAGATTTGGTGGTGAACTTGTGGGTCTGCAGGCTCTCTAAGGCCATCCACTTAACAGGCAGCTTGACTCCACTCTTGTTGTGCACACTGTAGTATTCTTTATCATACACGTCTCTGGCCAGGCCAAAATCAGCCACCTTCACTGTGTAGCTCTCATCCAGCCTGCAGGAAGAGACACACAAAGTGTATTTTGTTAGAAAAACAAAACACACACACACAGCAGCTGTGGTATATTATTTCAACATAAATATAAAACATACGTTTATTGATGCCATCTTTTAAATATACACACAAGTCTTCACACACACCCATGAAAGAAAGTAGAAGCATATGTGAGTGAGTGTTTAGGTTTTTTCCACAGTGTAGCTGAAAGTCTTACATGCAGTTCCTGGCTGCGAGGTCTCGGTGCACAAACTTCTTGCTGGCGAGATACTCCATGCCTTTAGCCACCTGTAGGCCGAAACCCATGAGGTCCTTCACTGTGGGGTTCTGCTGGGGAATAACAGAAACAATGATACAAAACAGCTCAAAAACAATAACTGTTAGCTCAGGTCTGTGTTAATTAGAAAATTCCTGAACTGGACTGGACAAGACTGTAAGGGTTAGGCTGTAGCAATGCTGCATTATGGCTAGGTGAATTCTGTGTGAAGGCTGCATAAATGTTTTGTGAATGCATCACGAAGGATGGCTGAACGTACGTGAGTCTCATCCCTGATGAAGTTTCGCAGGTCTCCGTGCTTCATGTAAGGCAGCACCACCAGAGGAGAACCTTCACTGGGCAGGCAGATGCCCAGCAGGGAAAGAACGTTGGGGTGGCTGAAGTCCTTCATGATAATCCCCTCCTTCAGAAACTGAGAAACCTCCTCTACATCTGTGATTCCTGCAGTCAAGAAACAGAGCATATTACTCCCTAGGACATAGAGAAGCATTACTGATGTGTAAAGCCAGAACAACAAACTATCATGTATATTTTTAATACACCAAATCAAAAATGATAATGGCACAATAATCTGGTTATTTTGACACCTGTGCAATTTAGGTCACACATGTTTAACTACCTCTTGAAATCTGAATTATTTTTAATTGTTACAGTCTCAGGTCAAGTCCTGTGAAATCTACAACAATACATTCAAATCTAAGCTAGGCTGCACACTCGCACCTTGGAGACAAATATCAGAAAATTCACTTAAAATACCATCAGGCCTTTCACACACACGCTCAGCTCAATACGTCACCCCTGAGAGTAGCTGTTTCAGACATGAGACTTAATCTAGTGTGACATGAGCGAGCCATTACTGGACACACTCTGGTGTCTCTGGTCCTGCCCCTCTCCCCCCGTCTCCTCTTTAATCTATTTTGTAGAGCTTTCACATTTAGGGAGGATTAAACAGCTGTTTAGTCTTTCAGTGAGATCTGAAAACACCAGAGAGCAGAAAGGAAAAAGAACAGAGATTCAAAGACCAAGGCCAGTGTCCACTCACCACCTCTGTAGGTGCAGAATCGCTCTGGGATCAGTTATTGTGATCATAATTCCTATGCTATGGTAATGTCTGAACACAAGTGAGATGAAATATAGTATAAATATGAACATCTAAAAAAAACAAAGGGCCTTATTCACCAATATCTTCCTTTTTTTCTTAAATTTGTTCTTCAGAAAGGTCCTAAGAAAAAGTCTACATCATATTTATGACGTGTTCTTAAACATGCAAAATAGTTCATAACTTTGTGTTAGAGAGTGTGTGGATTCTGTTCTTACTTAAGAATAAGAATAAGAACAAATTCCAAACATGAAAACATTGGTGAATGTCAGAATCTTTATGAAATCTGTGTAAGTGGTTTTAAGAAGAATCATTTAAAAATTTGAATGACTGTATGTCAAACAGTGGTGCAGAAATGCAAAGAGGCAAAATACGAAATCAAAGCTTCTCCCCGTATAAAGCCGGGGACTGTATATATGTGGACCCTATATACCGAATAAATAGTTGCTATATTATGCAAGAGAAACTGGCTCAGGTTCTGTACTGTTGAAAAGAACCCAACAGTGAAAACAAATGGTAGCTACATGAGTGAAGAGAAACACACAGATCAAGTCATAAATCTAAAGTCTCAGAATGACATGTTACCTGATTAGAGTCTACTCTAACGTGATATGGCTACTAGACGGCTCATTCATCATCATTATTATCATCTCCATGCTTAGACAGTTATATTAAAACAGTCATGTAATATATTAGCCTCTCATGTCACAGTTCAGTGAAAGAGGACAGTGACAACAGTATCAAGCAGAGGATAAAAAAAAAAACGTAAAACAAACAATCATCTAAGCATCGACACAAATACCATTTTAATACTTCATTTTCCAGTGCTGTCTAAACCTGCCCTTTCATAACACTCCATACGGCATGGAAATGTAAAGGATCTTTCAGTGTAGGAGATAACAACCGAGCCATATCTGAAACAGCCAACACTCTCCTTTCAAGTGCTCTATGGTCCAAGATAAAACAACAGACGGAAACGGTACAGATGGTTTAGGCCTGCTTATTTCTCATGTGCAGGTTTAAACATGAGCCCATATTTGCCTGGACAAAAAAAAGCATCCCTTTTCACTTCGCAAACCGCTGAATAAAAGCAATATATCAGTATTTCAAGCAGAGCTTCAACTGGCTCATATCAGGCTTGATCAGGTCTGGGTGTCATTTGTCGAATATATTTCAGGGTCGGATTAAAATTTCATGTTCGGGTTCTCACAGCCTGCCTCCTACTTTTAACAGATTTTAGCCTGCATTTCCACCTGCTTTACTTTTCCTCTTTACTTTAAATAAATAGACATTTAGGACTAAACAAGTTAACAACTTTTAGCTAACATCATACATATCAGCACTGCCCAGCTTAAGAACTGCACATCATTTAAAGTTTATCCAGACTAAAATACTTCGGGATGTTGTTTGTAAGCATTGCTTGATGAATAAATTTGTTAAAGCAGGACTTTCACTTAGTTTTGGACAGTTGATTATTTTAGTACATTATATTATTATATGTATTCTTATTTAATTTCTCTATGATCTAATGATGGCTAATTTTGTAGCCACAGGTTAATTCAACTAGCGCCATCATTTCAAATATCAGGTTTTGTTCAGTACTTTGTGCAATGATGGCTTGGGTTAGAATGCTCTTGATCTCAGGTCAGTTTCAGCCTTAAAACTTGATGTGGTCTAGGTTGAGCTCAAAATATTGTCAGGCTTAAGTCAGGTTCTGGCTTAAAACCTGGATCTGTGGGTCACGTTGGTCTTGGACAGAAAGTTCTTGGTCTGTATTTGGGTTGGGACTAAACTTTCAGGATTAAAACTCTAATTCAAAGTCATATGTTAACAGTGTCCCAGTAACTGCTATTTACTGTACTAGGCTGGGTTTTCCCAAAAGCATATTAGCAAAGATGACTCTTAAACGGCACGCTGAACACTCTCTTTACCACTTACGATGATCTTAACACTAAGTTGCTTTGGGAAAACTGGGCCCTGGCTAGTGTACTGTGAACTACAACCCCAATGGACACATATACATATACTTACGGTTTAGTGACTTGACCGCACAGTGCTGCTTCTGGCCGTCCGGTTCTAACAGAGTCCCATGAAATACACAACCAAAGTGTCCTGTTGTTGGTACAGAGGGAGAGAAAAAGACCATTAGTACAGCATCAGTACATCAATCTATCAAAACTCCTCATTACTCCGGCTGCATGGACACGGGGATTTTATTTCATTGAGCTTTTCACAACTCTAACAATAAAGAATCCCCAAGGCTGCACTAGTGCTAATGACTGCAGTGTAGACAGCACAACAATGTAGTATAAGTGTTAGTGTTTCCTCCACCCTGTCTCCCCCGTATCTCCTTCTTTTTCTCTGAGGTTCTCTCACCAACTGAGAGGAAATTTTCCCATACTAGACTTTCACCATACAAGTTCTGTGATTATGACGATGATGATGCAGTGTCATAGTGCAATGCTGAGTGAGTTCAGACATAAGAGTGACTTTATTTTGAATGGTAATCATGGATGGACCTGACGTTATTAGTGACGGTGTGCTCCAATACACATGCAGTACAAAGTAGAGCATTTCCTGCTCTAATACACACAAAATGACTCAAGAACAGCTGTACATCAACTGAAAACACATACTTAAAGCGATGGTTGGGCCACAAATCAAATTTATACAGATTTTCCTTTACCTCAAATGTAAGCCAAGACATGTTTCATGCCTGGGCTTCATGTCTTTAGTTTTGTTCTGGAACTATGAGGTTAAGGTAGCTAAGAAGTAATAGAGGATTACACTGACCAATTAGCATTGTGCAAACTGTGTGCCAACACTTAACAAAACTTATCTCAAACCATGGAGGTGGTAAGTAATCTCAAACAGACTTGCTCATGAAGATTTTGAGACTCTACGACTAAACGTTATCTAAAAATGAACACAAGTATAAAACTACAAGTATTTGACTAAAACTAAACTAAAAACTTTGTTCATTTTTATTGATGCCATTTGCACACTGCTTACAGCTTTTGTTACTCACTAGCTATATTAGTGTTGTAGCTCCAGTGCAAAACCAAAGACGTAAACTTCAGGCGCCAAACTTGTCTTGGCTGATTTCCTACATTTACATTTACGTTTGAAGAGGAACTTGTGTACATTTGACATTTGGCTTTAAACCAGGCACGTCAAACTGGGGACCTTCTGGGCCAAAGTTCTGCAGAGATTGGCATCATCTGACATTCTAAATTCTAACATGGCTCATGAAGGCCATGTTAATTAGCAGAGGAGCTAAGTCAGGTGTTGGGGTTGTGTTGGGTTAATAAGGCATTGTGCTAAAATCTGCAGTGTTTTGGACTGCGAGGACTGGAGCCTGACACACATGCTTTAAACAGTGCAGTGATGTAGCCTTCTAGAATGTTCTGATGTTTATGGCAGAGTTTCAGGATTTGCTACTGCAAACACAGCCGCTTTTTGTGGTGTGCAGCACCCTAATGTTAATCCTTCTCTTTTATTAATATAGTGTTTTATCATTTATCTTTTCACTTCCACATCCACAATATCCTTTAAATCTTCTTTCCACTGTCTACACTTGAGGTAAAACGGAGCTGACTGACTTGGAACAACTAGGAATCTCCCAATCACTACTTGCCTAAAAAGAGATTAAATAATTAGAACAAAAGCACGCGTGTGAATTCTCTCCAAAAGTCTCCTGTGGCACACCGTGCTATAACTGAAGGTGGGGCAGCAGTGTTTTTGGGGGGTGACATGTATGTATGTGTGTTAAAATAATGGTGTGGAGAGGAGAGTAATCTCCCCTCTGAGCTGCTATCACGTCCTCCCAGATGGCAGCCGAGTCAGATTACCACAAGGAGCCTCGAGACAGTCCAACAATGAGCCGGGAACTTAACACGGGAACAAATCACCACACACACCCCACACGTCCCACCAAGCAACCCAACACACACACATTGATGCTTACTTACACGCACACATCCACACACATGCAGCTTGGCTTTCCCAGGGGGTCTGCGGTGGGGTTAGAGGGATTTTAGGGCGTTCTGTGCAGGAGTAAAGAGTGAGCATGATGGGAAAGGTCTTTTCTGCAGAGCTCCACAGTAAATCTGATCTAGCTGAGTTCACACCCCCACTTCTGCAGCACAATGGGTAGACAGACAATTTACCAAGCAGACACTCGACAGTGTCGCGCTGATCAGAGATCATTTTAAATGGCTTCAGATTCCTTAAAAGCTCATTTTATAATGACTGCAAGTGCACATTCTATACTATAGTTGTCATATCAAACCAGAGCAATCAAGCAGTCAGTTATTGTATTGTGTAAGTCTGAATGTGTAAATACATATAGCAGAAACACTGGATATTTGTTTATGTATTTAATATATATTTATATATTTAACCATTTATGTATCGCCCAGTCATACTTGCTCAGTTCACTTGCGACTAGAGCAGGCTGGAAGATTTGGTGGATGTGTGGATTGTTCGGCCTGGGTAAATGTGACAGTGCATCTTGGAGATCAGGTATTCTATAAATTATGGCATCAAATGCAACTGCATCGTTTAGTATGCAAACAACCAGCACCAATGAAGAAACCAAACCAGCGTGTTCATTAGTAATCTGTGCATCAACATGAATATAGTCATCATTTCACTTCATTCAATTTTTTTTCAAAATATCACAGGAATATCAAATTGTGAATCCAGTATTGACAATCAAATCAAATCATGCCACAATGCACTGTTACATCCCAAATGTCTAGGATCATTTCTGTTTAAGTGGAATTGTGTAATATCAAGGGTACTTTTGAACGCACAGGTTAATCCATTCATTGCTTAACAGTACTTATAGCTATTATTCAAGAAAAAACAAGCAGTAAGTGGAGGTCAAACTTTAACTATTAATAAGGTGTTCTCCAGTCACTTGTTATGGGTGTGCATCTAGATATGAGCAGTGAGGCTCAAATCTGATGACTGTCATCATTAACTGCAATTAACAATTTGTCTTTTTTGTTCAATGGATCCAATTAATAAATTACATGCTTAAAGTGCCCAGATTGGTAGATTAGCTAGCTGCCTTTGTAGCTATTGATACTCAGTAACTCCCAAGCAAAGATCAAAACAGCTCAAGCTTAAAACAGTACTCACTGCTGCCCTCTAAACAAATTCTGCCACCTGGTTCAAAGATGTTTTGTTGTTTTAATAAACCTGTGATGTGTCTCAATTAACGCGCTTTCTTTTATTTATATGTGCTTCAACTTAATGAATGAAAAGCGACTAATTCCCGTTGTTTGTTGCAATGTAAACACTTGATTGTGAACACAAATCAAGTGTTCACAATCAAGTGTCCACAATCTTGTGGGGGCAGTCATGGGCTGGTGGTTAGGGAAGAAGCCCTGGAAGGTCGCTGGTTCGATCCCCTGGGACGACAGTATGTGACTGAAGTGCCCTAGAGCAAGGCACCTAACCCCCAACTGCTCCCCGGGCACTGCGGATAGGGCAACCCACTGCTCCAGGCAACTGTGCTCACTGCCCCCTAGTGTGTGTGCTCACTAGTGTGTATGTGGTGTTTCACTGCATGAGTGAGTAAAATGTGGAGGTGAAATTTACCCATTGTGGGACTAATAAGGGTCACTTAATCAAACAATTGAGTAAAATAATTGCAGCCATCTTGAATAAGTGTGATTAGTTCAAATAATTGCAATCAGGTGACTATAGTTGTGACAGGCCTAGTAGTTCACAATAGTTACAGTAAAAAGGGGCTCTTTTTGAGAGCTGGGTTCCTAACAGTGTAAAGTATGGTGTTTTGTGTGTGCCTGGCTTGTACATGTTATGTAAAATAAAGAAAATTAGAGTAAACTCCAGCACCCCCCCGCCCAGAAGGATAAGCGTTTGATGATGTATGTATGTATGTAAGAGGTTAAACTGTGAATGTTTCCATTGGCTGGCCAATGACATTCTTCTGTAAAATGATCCATTATCATCTCACCTCTTCCAATAATCTCACTGACGTGTAGTAGCAGGTCCTCTCTGGCAATGACCACATGCTGCACCTCCTTTAGCAGCTCGGGGTGCAGGCTGCTCAGGTCTACAGGAGCAGAAACAGGCAGCAGTGGGGAGGCCAGGTCTCCTTCAGCCCCCAGCATGGGCGACAGATCCACATGTGCATGAGCATACGGAGGAGGCCGACACGACTCGCTCGGAGACATCGGCAAGCTCTGGTCTGTGAAGGAATTCAATGGGGTCAAATGGTCAAAGGTCAATCACAGGCTCACTGAAGCTGGAGACTACAAAGGTCACACAAATGAATACGCTCGTCTGGGAGGTCAGATAATTACAACAACTACAAAGAGAAAGAAGAAACTCGAAGCCTGGCTTTACAGGCGAGAGGCTGAAAGAGAGTCGTTCGCTTGTTTGGCAGAGAGCGAGGGAGCATGCAGAGGAGCTGAGAGGAGTGTGGAGAGGAGCATGGAGAGGAGGGGGGAGGGAGATCTGAGGGTGAAAAGGAGGATAAAGTGTGCGTGCTGAGCTCTAGAAAGATCCACTCCAGAGACTATTTGACAGAAACAACGAAAACTGCTCTCAGATCAGCATGAAAGGGAAACTTTATTTTGAGCAGAGAAACTGCGAGGAAGCAAAACGTACCCTCAAGCAAAGTGGTTCTATAATCCAGAGACTCGTGAGACACCATTTCATTAGTGGGACTCACACTCCTCGCGTTTGCCAGCATGTCCAAGTGCGGAATGTGAGCACGGCCGTCATACCAAACCATCCCCTCAGCTAAATCTACACGCAGAGAGAGAGAGAGAGAGAGGGAGAGAGAGAGAGAGAGAGAGAGAGAGAGAGAGAGAGAGAGAGAGAGAGAAGGGGGGAGTAAGATAAATAGAGAGAGAGGAAAAGAAAGATATAGATAAGAGAAAGATGTAGAGAATTAGAGAAAGTGAGAGGGAGACAGAGAGCAGGAGAGTGAGAGAGGGTGAAAGAGAGAGAGATGGAGAGAGAGATAAAAAGAGAGAGGGAGAGAGGTTGAAGAGGAATTTGTGGGCAAGATAGAGAGAAAAAAAGAAAGAGATAAGAAAAGCAAGAGGGGGAGAGAGATAAAGAGAGGAAAATGAGAAAGAGAGAGAGAGAGAGAGAGAGAGAGAGAGAGAGAGTCTTTACAAAAAGAAAACAAGGACAGGCCGCTTCCCCATGTGCTCCTGCAGTGTCAGTCTAGCGCAACCCAGAAACCACTCCTTTCTCTTACTCCCTCAGGATAAGACACACTATTATCAAAACATCTCCTCAGTAAACAAGGCCTTTTTACGGCAGCCGTGAGTTCTCGTCCACAGTGAGTCACAATGATTTATAAAGCGGATTTCAAACAACAAACAGTTCTCTGCATAGTAAGTCAAACATTCCTGGCAAAGATAAAACCACCGCAATCAAAAACAGATTATAATTTCTTTCGGCTTGCTGACTACAATGGAAGTCAGCACTGAACATGACACTGGCAATTGTGCAACAGCAAATTTATTTCAAATACACAAACACACACACACACACTGTGACGTACCATCGATGTGCTTCTTCCTCCTGATCCAAGCGAAGAGCGCGAGCAGCATGACCAGCAGGATGGACACACACACCACACCAACGATCAGCGGCTTGTAGTCCTGCTCCTGCGCCAGAACTACACGACCCAGAATCACTGAGGAGGAGGCCTGCATCCACTACAACACACACACACACACAGAACATTTACACATGCACAGGCCATACAAACTCAAATTTGTATCTTGATATTTTCTAGAATCTGGACAACAGTGTCTTAGTACACAGGAGTCTACAATAGTATTAGGGATGCATAAACATTTAAAAATTACATAAATTGTACAAATTGTGACTAAATCTACCTGGATTAGTAGCATTTTTGTAAGGCTACAAATGTAGAGAGATGAAGAAAATGCTTACAGTACCTTAGTATCGCCTAAACACTGTGCACCCCCAGAACACAATTAATACCCCATCAAATATCGATTTAAAATATCAGTCAAATCTAAACTTCTGTCTGATAACGCAAATGCCTTTTAAGCTATATCTTCCAACAACAACATGATTCCAATATCATCATGCATCCCTAATTAGTATACAATAGTTAAGAACATGAGAGTGAGTGGGTTATTGCAAATAATACGACAGCTGTGATTTGGTTTCAGGCACCTGTCGAAGGCTCATCACAGTCATGATATTATTCATGATAACACACATACTCTGTGTGTTACCAGTGCGTTCTATTGCGTTTATACAACAGCTCTGCAAAATAAAGATATCTTTGCAAATGTGCTTTAAATGTGCTTTAATAATTTCTAATGCAACAGAAGTAGTAGCTTTTTTTTAATCGAAAGAACCTTAAAAATGTTGCAATATCAGGTCCAGCTCAGCTTTTTCAAAGCCTATCAGATTAACTTGAATGTCGTTTTATTCCAACCACTCTCTAAAGCCTTTCACAGCCCATCTTGTTTGCTAAATGGTATTTTGTTTTGTGTTTACATTTTTGGCTAATTCCAATTTCTTTACTTGTCCTGTTGTCAGTTCAACCTTACTTAGGGGCAACGACAGGTTCAGAATTTGACGTACGCCTGTCTTCTCTTTAGACTCTGACCAAACAAGCTACAGGTCAAATATTATAAAAAATAACTTTCTGAAGTTATTTAATATATATTAATTTTCTATATACCCTACTAGCCTAGAAGTAAAAACTTAATAAAGGTTAGCTGCAGTGATACTAAGTCACTGGTGCTTAGTGGAATTTATTTATCACTAATAACAGCACAAGCAGAACATTTTGCATCAGACTGTGCCAACAGAACTAACTGCTGTATAATACACAACAATAGCAAAAAATGAAAGGTCACAATGAACAAATTTTACAATCCTTTTAAAATTAACAAATTATTCAGTGTCTTGTTAACCTTATAAAACCAATAGTGTGATGCGGTTTACAACTAAAAAGCTTCATTTTGTTTGTATGAATGTTAATTTACATACTCAAGTAGCTTCATATTCACACACTTGCATGTTTTTTTAAGTGATGAAAAAGGTTGCTGGTGTTTCCACCTATAGCTGACACAGCTAACACAAATGGGGTCTTGTAGTTCACCGGTTTGGGCTTATCATAAAATCCACAATATGATAAAATCTATGTTGACAAACGAGGAACTGTACTTCCCAGCATATGCAAGAAGAAGCACATACATTAAATAGTGCACACTGCAGTATGTGTATAATAGGTAAGACATCCCCAAAGGACAAAAGTAATCACAGTGTACACCCACTGACATCCTGAATCACTGCCTTAGTCTGGCTATAAATCACTGCCACTTTTAAGTCCAGACCTGGAAGGCCTACAAAAGTGTTTTCTGGGCAGACAGATGACAACTTATCAGCCAATTACCAACGTCTCCATTTTATGGGATACATGCTATTATGTCCTGTCCTGTCTAGTTACCGTCATGTGTAATTATTATTCTGTGTATTTATCAGTCTGTAGTTCTGTTGTTTAGTGCATTTAATGTCTGCATTAATTTCTCGCTGTCATGTATCTGCACTCTATGAAGTCCTGTGTAATGTGCTGCTGTTGTGTGTTGCATCATGGGGCCTGAAGAATCACATTTTATTCTAGTGTTTACAAGAATATTGAGGAAAGACAAAATAGACCACTTGACTTGAATAGAGCAGGTTAACTCCATTATTTGGTGTTGATCTCAAGGACTAAAGCTTTACTCCTCAGTTTAAACAGACCAGGGGTGCCAAAGCTTAATGTCTTGGGGGCCAAAATGCATCTTTTTGGGTGGCTGAGGGCCAAAAAGACAAAACAATATACTAATAAAAAAGGAAGGGATAGGCAGGGGTTAAGTTTAGGCTAACTGGCCAAATAAAATGTCTTCATGAACCAACTTTAGGCAGCCCTACAGCACACCATCAGCCCACCACCTCACACATACCGAGGGAGCATTCACTCACTCAGAAATAATCTCGAGAGGCCAGACATTGCACACAAGCAGGAGGGGAAATTGGATGAGAGACAGTGTCTCCTTCATGTGGGGAAGATGGTTATTGAGTTTAGGCTGAGATGAGTTTTCTATGTTGTGATGGTCAGATTAAACCCCGATGTGACACACGTGGTACTCGCTCAGAGAGATAAACGCTTTATGCTAACACTCGCTCAGTGTTAGGTCCGTCCTATCAGATATCCACTTCTCCAGACCAGGAACATTTCTTAAATGTTCTCACTGAGCCGACAGTGAATGGAGAGGAAATATAAAGTCTTATCTGTGTTGGGTTCTAACTCATAAAACAATAATAAAGCACCACAGAGAGGATTTATATCTAATATTACCCCACACAGTCAAGTCTATGAGGTAAGAGAAAATATTACTGCTGACCTAATCTGACGCCCTGATTTCATCTGGCAGACCCGTCACAGTGCAGCTCAGGTACGGTAAGAAGTGGAGTGTGTTGTGTGTTTTGTGTAGAGAGAGAATCAAAGAGGTGGAGGCACTGAAAGTCTGGCTGAGTGAACAGTGAAGTGGAAGACTGAAGAGGGACTTTTAGAGAGAGGGACTATAGCACTTTTAGAGTTAGACTGTTTTACCAGAGGAGGTACAGGAATGAACTTTGTGGGAATTCACCGGTCGATTGGTACGAGATAAAGTATCTGTGTATTTTCCCAAATTCCCACAGAGAGCCTGGACTTAAAGGTGATGGCCTGTGTTCTGTGATACACCTCACTCAGTAACAATAACAACACACTGCACAGGCGTGTCTATTAGCAAGTGTTGTTGTTTCATTACTGTGAGGTGAATTGGAGCATTGATACTACTACTGAGGGAGCTCCGTGTCCGGCTAATTACAGAAGACCACTTACTCAGTTATTATTGGCATATCATAAAAACCACAGACACACTGTAGATTCATACTGAATTAAAATCACTCCACAATTATTACTGTCAGAATATAAAACTCCACACTGCACATTCATACTAAATTAATATAATCAGTAATCAATTAAATTACAGTACCTCCCCAGGTAAAACTAATCCAGCTCCAAAAGGACTTAAATACAATAGAAAAAGACTGATGGGAAAGAAAGAGACTGCAGAGTGATGGGGTTTCTCTAACCTCCACCTCCAGCTCTTTGGTGGCGGTCTGAAGCTCAGGGGGCACAGTGCACTCCAGTGTGTTTCCCACCAGAGCCACACTCACACATGAGCGGTTGGACACCCGCAAAACTTCTCCCTTCACCGCCTCCACATCTACACGAGGAACCTGCACACAGAGGAAGAAGGGGATGTGATATACTTCATATCCAGCAGTGAAAGGCTACTGATTTCACAAAACAAGATTTCTCGGTTAGCCAGATAACTTCAGCCAAAAGTCAGACCAGCCTTATAAGAAGCAGAGTTAATGAACATTGAGCTATTGAATTGTCTAGGTTTTCTGGGAAATTCTCCTTTGTAAAATACCCCCCAGTAAGGTATGTATTCATGCTCAATTCCTTAAGGACTAAATGACTGTGTCCACTATAACCCATGTCAGAGAGAGAGAGAGAGAGAGAGAGGGAGAGAGAGAGAGAGAGAGAGAGAGAGAGAGAGGGAGGGAGAGAGAGAGAGAGAGAGAGAGAGAGAGAGCGCAGAAGGCAATAAAGAAAGCGATCACATTCCTCGCATGACAGCCTGGGCTTTGCAGATTGGACACACAGTTCACTTCAGCACCTGTTACTGTACAGTACAGACCAGCTAGAGACCCGATCGGAACAGGCTGGCACGCAACAGATTTCTAGCAGAGTCTCCAACAATTTACCATTTTTTACCATAATCAGCTACAGTACAGAGAGCACTGTGACATATTTCATGCATTAGTGGTTCTAAAGAGACAGATCAATGAGCAGAAATAACACAGTCTTACTGTTCATTCTCCTGACGAAGTTTCTAAGTGTATTATTAGTCTCTGATATTCTACAGAGTATAAGACAAGCTGCCAAGTGCAATTTTCATTTCTACAAACAAGGTCCTGGCATCCAGCAGCAAATGTAAACAAACAAATTACATGGGAATGACTGTGGTGGCATGATCGCAACTTAATTAGATCCAAAATAAATGATAACTGCTCTCGTTCCCATTACTGTTAAATACACCCATTCAGTGGACATGTTCCATAATTTCGGCCTTCAAATGTGTGTTTAAAGGGACCAGTGCCACACGGATGGGATTTGATTCTGAAGAAAAAACAGGATCTCATCTAAACCCCCCTCCACTCAACAGCTGCACTGGACCAGTGAGTGGCACTGCTAGAAAAAAAATCCTCTCGTGCTTCATTGTTAAAAACGTTGAGTTTTTCACCCGGTTTCCCTCGCTAATGCAAAGGATTCTCACCATTAATGTGTCAAAGGCTGGAAGCTTGAGGAGCTCAAGAACAATGAGGGAGAATAGAGGGAATATGGAGGGTAGAGGGTCAGCAGGTCCGCAATGGGATACAAACTACATTTCCTGTTTGGTCTTAGTATTGTTTCCTTCCACATCAGTGAGTGCAAAGAATCGAGGTGGGCTTGCGTGAATGTGTGTAATTGTGTGCATGTAACCTTTTTTAAGAATATGAGTAAAAACCCTGCTTTGGTATGTCTGAGTTTGTGTGTATGTGTTCCCACACAAAAAAATCTGGAACATATAATCAACATAGAACAATGTAGGCATGCAAGATTCTATCTGCCAGGCAGTAGAAAGTGTCTGGCTCTCTTACCTTAATCTCCAGCACGCTCTTACTGCCTCTGGGAGTCAGCGTGGGCTTCTGAAACTCCTCAAACTTGGGGTCTTCCACATAGGTCAAGTCATATTCCCGTGTTAAGAATCCATCGAGCACAAACTTCATCTTAGTGGCGACCGGAGGCCGAATATTCAGGCCTTTAAGTGAAGGAGTGATGCAGACGATGGTCAGCTTGTCTTCATCCTGTGTGCACGTCTAGGCACATTAAACACAAACAACAGAATTAAGTCACATCCTCAGCGCCAAGCTCAAAACCATGTCTAGGCTAGTTACTTTCACTCTGCATATCAACTCATAAAAGTGCTATTTTTTTCCCAATGTACTAAGTGCTATTCTCTAAATAGGAATTATGCAGCATCTCTGTTGCATTTGCATTGAAACTCATAACATATAAGCCATTCTGTATGACATCTTAACTCACTCATGACAGCATGAGAGCCAGCATTTATTAAACCCTGCTATAAGACCTATTGCTGTCAGATGGTGCGCTTCATTTACAACTCAAAGAAGACAAAGCCATGCCAGAGCACACGCTGCTTTGACATTTTCATAATGACTTCATAAGCCTCAGGATATTTATGCAAGCAGTAAGCATACATTCCACAGGCAATGAAGCAGGTTATGAAAATGATGCTATATCAAATAAAACGTGGAATATTCAGTGCACTGGATCCAGATGAGAAGCTGCTTCTTGCTTGCACTGAGTTTCAGCAGTGCTGGTATGTGGAGGATAATCTTCAGGAAAAGTGAACAGGGATTCTTTGTGCGCGTTGGGGTCCAACTCCAAACACTATGTGAGTTATGACTTGGAGGCTCAGCAGATGCCAACAGTGACTCTATTTTTTGGCAGCTCTCTCCAGCCCATCACACCTCCTGTCCGTGCTGCGTTCTCCTCGGCCCGTAAGAGTGCTGGATGGTGGCTGGCTGTTTCACTTTATGCCTGTCATATTCCTGCCACTCATACTTAATGTGAACGTTGTGTTTTCTCTCTGGGTTTATGAGGCCTGGAGCTTCAAGCACATCCTGAAGCCTTTGATGGGATTATTTTCAAGCATATGCGCTGATAGTGCTCAGTGCTCTCTGCTCCAAAACTATCAGAATGCAAGTTTCAGTCCAGCTCTCTGGAGCTACTCCTGCAAATGCGCATGGTAGATTTGCTCTGACTGCCTAAAAACAACTCTGTCACTGCAGTGGGTGAACTCCCCATAGAGAGCCAGACCATGGTAAATATTTGCAGTGTGGTCAGAACCATTGATGTAGCATATTTATCTACTGCACCGAAGAGACAAACATGACCTTGAGTGGAGAGTAAGATTAGACACAAAGTACGAGTTCAGCAGGAAAAAAGTGAAAAGCTTGTTTCAAGAGCATTTTAGAGTCTCTGCATTTACTCACTAACATATGAAGTACTTAGCAAAAGTTTTTATTTGTTTATTTAATTTCCAGCCAAAATGGTTTATTGCCACTTAACTCTTCCATCCTTCCATTTTAAAACCAAGTTATAGCTGTGTCCTCCCAACAAAAGCTGTTCCGAAAGGTGTCACTGACAATATGCTCCCCTTCAAAAAACCACTAACGTTCACACAACACATTAATCAAACACAAACACACTTTCTTCCTTATGTGCATCTAACATTTCTGACAAGACTACATACTTGTATAAGGAAGGAGAAAGTCAAAGGAAATTAGTTTCCAAGCCTGGAGTGATTAAAATGATTAAAATATACAGAAAAAGTGGTACGCCATGCAAGTCCTGGGAGATCACCACAACTGTCACCATCAGATAAACAGCACTTAAAGCTTTCATCTTTGAGAAAGAGGAGAATTTAAGTGTTTCTGTCCATTCTTTCACTGTGAGACAACTGAATGCTTTGGGTCTTAAAGAATGTGTAGCTGTCGGGAAGCCCTTAGTGAGAAAATTAAATGGACAAAAAAGAAGAAAAGCACATCAAAAGTGGACCTCTGAGATGTAGAGTAAGGTTATAGGGACTCAATCTAAATTTGTAAATGGGATTACTTGGATCATGAGAAGCAGAGAATGTAACCAACTTTTAAGTCTGAACTTTGTAAGCATGCAGAATTCTTTGAAAAAGTGAAAGAACCTAAAATGAATTGAAGTTCATATAAGGCAAAGGATGAACACACTAAATACTTAAAACCTTGACATATATGCAATCTTCTGTTTTCTCTTTTTCTGATGCTGAAGAATGAGTAGCTTGCACATGTGCTTAAATGTTGATGGTAAATTAAATAAATGAAACAGTGTTGCTGATTTTTGCGGTGCTGTAAGAGGCCGACATTGCACCACAATGTGAAAGCCTTCTAAATTACATGTTTTCTCAAGTATCTCAGTTAAAGCCAGCATAGCCACAGTTCCGTTAACTGTGGTAGCTACTTCCTGTCAACAGTTTCCCCGTCCTCTCCTCTCCAGGTCTCGATTGAGCAATATCACAGATGGAAGGCAAACGCCTACTGCTGACCCTGTTAATTAACATGAAAGCACACACTTATTCTGCGTAACCCCTTTCAAATTAAAGAATTAGTTAAGAAACTGTCTGTACAACTGAACAAGGTTCATGTATCTTTAAACAATAAGAAGTAAACCCTTTACTGATTCAGACAGAGGAGCTGCACTCTGGAGGGAGTCAGATATTTCTAAAGCTGAAGGGCTTCAGTCTGTCTCTGTGTCGCTGCTTGACAAACACAGCATTTAACAGGCTGGATTAAGTGAGATAACCCACTGCTGATTTAGATGTACACAGAGGGGCCATATTGGTGGGGCGAGTCAAACATGTCTGAAGCTGATTGGCTTCTCTGGCTCACTGTTTGACAAAAACAGTGTCTGACTCTTTCGCCTCACAAAGGATTTTATGGTTGGATAACCACTGCTGAAGAAAAGAGATAAACAAAGCAGGAGACACTGAAAGCGTCTTTAGATACCATCAAAGTTAGTTACATGAGAAACCACATATAATATCAAAGGACAAATTATCAGTGTAACAAAACACCTAAACAACACCAGTGGAGGCAGGTCAACCAGAACTGGAACTGTATGTATACAGATTCTCAAACCACTGTCGAAAAACAGGCAAAATGCACTGCTTTAACATCAGAGATATCCATCATGAAGATGTCCTACAGAGAGGATTAGAGCAGATGAGTTCCAGACACTCAGATGACCTCCTGGGCACCACCAGACTGGGCAGGAAAAAGAGACACCCACATTACTGCCTCCTCTACTGCATGGACATGCTGTTTATGAAGGTTTGAGATGAGAAAGCCAGCTCTGGCTTGTATTGGTGTGTGCAATTCGACCCATTATGGATCTTGAAAACAGGTGGCTCTTCATCTAGACACCCCACTGAGGACTTTGAAGCACAGAAGGAACCTGTAATCACCATTAACCCGCTTCACAATAGCTTCATAGATGACGAAGTGAACTTGAATGCTTTTTACATCATCCGGAATCTTCTAGGATCCATGACTGAGAAAGATGTCCTCCAGGAGGCCAGGAACCAGAAGGAAGTGAGATCTTCTGCTTTTTAAAGGTTTCTCTCTTTTCTGAAAGATGCCAGCCTTTAGCAACAAGTTGCAGCCTGTAAAAAATGCCTTTTATGTTGGTGGGAAAGCTGAGATTGGCTGAGCCCTGGATTTAGCAGAGATCGCAGTAGCAGATATGGAAGAAAGCTCTTGAGATTTTTCCCCCTGCTGATTTTGCTGGGGCACAAATTCAACTTGGTTGATTGCTCTCCCTCATTTTTGTCTCTGGGGTTCTTCTTGTGTATGGATACAAAACCCACTGATGATTAGCAAAGATCCAGAGAACTCCTCTTCTGCAGATACACAAGAGGCCTGTCACTGACCAGAACGAAGGCTCTAGCCCACAAGAAACGAAACCTGAAACCCCAAACCACATCTCTGTTTCCACCATTGTAGAGCTAACCTCAACATAACGGATGACAGGTCCACTCAGGTTACGTGACTGAGGCAGACTGAAGACAGGAAAGACTTTTCTTCTTCCATGCAGCCTCCCAATAAAAGCGCAAAAACAATAAAACACTTGTTCTTTATAGTTCATGGTGGGAGTATTGGACCCCACACTGTTTGAGGTAAAGAATTTACAGTGCAACAGCTGTGGAGTCATACTAAATCGTTAGTAAGGATAGCGTGACTTCTATTGCATGGAATCACAACATACTGTCTACTGTTTGTCTGTTATATTATGAACATAAGCAGCAGGTAATGCATAGAATCTCAAAGAATATTCTTCTGTGAATTGCGAATGTACTGGCTTGTGTACATCACTTGGTAATTAACATTTCAGCTATAAATTGCATAGTACGGCGGTCAGGACTGACAGCAGGAGTGTGTTATGTGTCTGTAGCCATTTCTAAGAAGAACTGACTGAAATATAGATTGCACTTGCACTGAAATATAAGGTGGCATCACTCTAAGGCCACTTTCTCTACTACCTGATAGAGCTGAGACCAACTGCAAATGACTCAGAGACTACTCCAGCTGGAACAGACCAGAATCATATGAGATGTCACGTCGGGATTTTCCCTTTGGTGACTATGAAGAAAGATGAGATGCAGTACATTATAATTACACGACCATAAAATAATGACTTCAGCTGAAGTTCAAGTAGCGGTCACAAACATTTGGTCCTGACTGGGCATTTTAGAGCACTGAGAAGCTGCAGACTCTTTGAGATTTTGCTGAGAAATCAGGTGAATAAACAGGTTGGCTTCCACACTTGGAGCCAGAGGTGATGACTATATGGAGCGTTAAGCGTGGCTTTTCCATTTCCTCTTCACATCTGCCGCTCCAGCACTTTCTTTTCCTTCATTCTAAAAGCTTTTTCCCTTACAGTGGAGTTAATGGCAATAACACCTGTGTGACATGGTCAATGTTTTTTTTTTTTTGACAAAGTGTGCGTACAGCGCAACAGAGACTCACCACGTAAACCTCTTTGTCCTTGGTGAAGGGAGGGCCGCTGAGGACCATCTGAGGCTGCATGGCTGAGTGGAGGTAGACGCCAGACGCTATCACTGTGCTGCCTCCGCTGTAGGCACATATAAACACACAATATTAGCAAACCCGCTGTCGTATGCACACTCATACGGATTTCCTGTCAACCCCCCTCCACATGCTTAATGTATCCCAGTCCCCAAATCATTCACTTTACCTCAATGGCTCATTCACTCTGCCTCCCATTCTGTCTATTCATTCTCTCTTTATTTATCCCCAGAGTTCTTGCTTACTTCCCCTGTCTTACCTCCTTCCAACAAATCCTACTCTGTTCATTTTCACTTGTCTTTCCTTTCGCTTAATCCTACACTAATAATCTTCACCCTTGCTCCCTCTCTGCACAGTACTTCCTCTTCAAAATCTCGCCTCCATCATAGTGGTGCAACCATTCGTCCACCTGTTGTCTTCCCATCTATGGTTAGCCAATTGCTTTGCCAGACTTTTTTTCCCAAAAATCTCTCTCCTTTACACCCACTCTGTCTTCTGCAGCAGTCTGTTTGCCCAGTTTCCTTCCCTGCTCTATCTCTGTTCATACTTTTCATTCCACCTCCTGTTCAAGTTCAGTTTCATATGGTTTGGCACATATTAGAGAGATGAACAACACACAAATGCACTGAGTGAATCTATATAATGGGAAAGTCAGGGGTTATATGAGTATAAGAATACAATAAATCAGTTAGCTAAAGCCTAAGTTCTAAGCAACAGTGTGGGATTTTAGTAAAACTGACTACGGGTTCTTGTATTCAGAAATCTACAAAATCAGAGCAAGGCAACAATTACCCACTTCAGCTTATTAAGTATCATTAAGGCCACTTTATTGTTCTAAAATGATAATAGCTGTTAACCCCTAGGCTAATTATTCAGCTGCTAATCTTCAGGTTTATTATCCATTAACTATGACAGTGAACAACTAATGTGTGGACCCTTAGGGTTTAAGGAGCTAAAAGCCACTCTGTTGAAATGATTTTAATAGCAATGATGAGTGGGACCCACCTGATGAAGGAGCGTGTGGGCTGGACACTGTGGATGAGTGGGTCCTCATTGTAGGTGTAGTTGGCAGGAGCTTCACGGGTCACTCCATCGATACGCAGCTGCACTTTGTGCTGGGATGGCGAGTGTTGAGATGGAGTCTGACAAGTCAGCACGGTAGCTGATTCACTAATGGAAGAAAAGGACACAAGTGACAAAGTAGCACATATTATCTTACCTTTGTATACCGAGTTTAAAAGTTTTACAGGTTCTCACGTCTGAATTTCACAGGTGGCACTTCCAATTGTAACCTTTCGTGAGCTCCCACTGTTCAGGTACAATCCCGTAATGGTCAGCGTGGTTCCACCAGATTTAGGCCCAAACTCAGGGAAGATTCCTTTAATAACAGGGTTCTGGAAGAGTAAAATGAGGACCAACCCTGACCTGAATATGCATGTAACGTTAACCTGTAACAATGCATGTATTAAGTCAACTGTGCATCATGTTTATGCTGAGGAAACCGTTGTAGTGCTGCTGAAATACTACAGAATATATGTAGTACTGTTGATTGATATTTGTGTCAGACTGCTAGTGTTGTGCTTTGTGAAGACTCTTACCACAAATGTGAAGCCCTTGATCTGCCCCTGCTCCTTACCACTGCGTACTCTAACCCATGGGTCAGAACTGGACACATTCACATGATCGAGGCCACAAACCAACCTAAACACAAAGACAAAAACATCTCCCACAACTCAGACAATAAACAAGTTATAGTTTGTGTGCTTGTGGAGAAAGCAGGCTATTAGTGCAAGCTAATTTACTAATAACGAGCATACTACTGTGCACAAACAACACAGGAGCTATTCTATCAGGGAAATTTCTCCTCGTCTCTCAACAATGGGGCGGCTGTGGAGTGTCGTGTCCGGAGGCACAAAGGCCCTTGAATAGAGTTTGGTGTATTTTTGTTAAGCTAGTTGGGTACGCAAGAACAAACTGCACAATGAAGCACTTTTTGGGCCACTTTAACATGGACCACAATGCTGGGAACCAGGCTTGGTGCTCCTCTAAAGTTGCATTTCAGGGTGTCTGTGGGGTAAATGATTTTCCACATAAAACAACAGAACTCCAGACGAGTTTACAAAGACTAAAGCATGGTACTAGTCATATATGAAATTATCATGTATCAGTATGATCAATTTTACTTCAACACATCATTTATTTTTTGGCTTTGAGGACTTTAATTGTCCAGTTGGCTCAGCTGATTAATAAAGCTGTTTAGAATGTAGGGCTGTGTTAAAATCTCTGGCTAGGGAAGACAGCTAAGGCACATCTTGGTGGCTTTAACTCATAAAAAAAAAAATTCAAGAACTTTCAGTGAACCACCCTTTTTCATTGCAGTAATAAGAAGAACTTAATCCCTTAAATGGCCAGAGCCCACCAGCCAGCCAAAAAATTTATTACACACTTTTATAACCTAAAAATAGCTCAGCCAGTTTGCATTAAAGTCCCTTTAGTTACTGAATAATAAGCCTTAATATGTAATACGCAAGGGATTTAAGGGGTTAAACACATCTAATTCTTTCACCTGGCATCAAAAATTCTAGCTCAGTGACTTACCGATGGTTGCTACTGTCCTTCTTGGTCAACCTGCACTTTGCTCCAGCCACCTCAATGTCAACAATACTGGCATTAAATCGATCTTTCTTACTGAAGCCAAAGTTTTTGCCACAGATTGTGATGTTGGTGCGGCCTTTCAGTGGAGCGGTGGTAGGAAAGATCTACAAAAAGCAGACACAGAATTTTGTTCATATTTGTTAATCATGAGTCTTATCTCATGTTGTGAATTATCCGATGTAGGAACATTGTATAAAATAATAGGTTACATGTCTCCCTACAACATGTTGTTGGCTTCTGACAATGATTTATTTTGGCAGAGTGGCTGCTACAAAGGCAACAAGTCTTCTAGTATGAAGTAAAGCCAATAAGACGTTGCCAAGCTCCAAACAAAACAGCAGCATGTGGCCCCCAGTTATTTTGGTTCTCATGCTAAAAGTGGCCTTCAAGTTGGCCACTATAAAAGGGTTTAAAAACCACTGCTTTGTGTTTTAAACTGTGGATTCATTGACCTGAAGGAGATCTCCTTGTGCGAACACCGCTTTGTGTGAGTCATTTCCTAACTGACATTTTTTTTGTTACAGTGTACCAGGATGGATGCAATGGCATCACAACGGCTGTGGTTTAAAACCGCTACTGCTTTATATTTTTTGCCAGTTATTCTGAAGTGCATCAGGGATTTTTTAATGCCTGATATTTTTGCAAACATCCAGCACTGCCAAACATGCTCACACGCATAATAATAACATATATGGATATGACTAAGTAAAATTAAAAATATTAGATACGTGAGTTTTTATTCCTATTTTGCAATATTTCCATTTACATCAATATTACTACCACATTACCTACATCATTCATCATTCACTGGGTGCTCAAAAAGGATAAATACATGACCACATAAACACACACACACACACACACACACACACACACACACACACACACACGCACACACACACACACACACACACACTTACTCAGGAGAATTCTACAAATGAACACTTCTTGATATTTAGAATCAATTACAACCTTTAAAACGAGACCAGAGGTCTCTAAAAAATCTTGCGTCACTACAGATAATACTGGAATGTTTAAAGCATTCAAAATCAATGAAGGTCAGAGCTTCATCTGTGGTCTCATTCCTTGAAGCACTTATTCTATTAGCTTGATGCTATTGTCTACTTAGTAACCATAGCAATAAGGTTTGTGGTTGGGCAGGGCGGTTACCTCGTTGATGAGAATGGGGCAGGAGTCTTGGCTCCAAAGGTAAGTCTCACACTGAGCTGACCGAGTGCAGAGGTTTCTGTTCCTGCACCATCCGCAGCCCATGAAGGACGGTGCCAGGAGACATGAGCTGCAGTTCCACAACTGCTCACAGCCTGGACCAATCACAGGCACTTTAGACACCTGCAAGACAGAAAGAATTAGACAGTGTTATTTCAAATATATGCATATGAATATATTTTTAAAAATTCAAAATGCCAGCTGCTGTTTACACTGTCAAAATTTCATAGCAAATGGGCCAATAGAAATGGTCCAAAATGAAAAAATCTTAAAATCTTGTTACATATATGGTGCAAAAACCTTCTTCTTATTTCTTTGCATAATTCAAAAGTCTAAGTACACTTTACCTTGCATTAACATTGCATGATGAACTACTAATAGAAATTTCCAATTCAAAATAATTGGAAAATCTATCTTTTTACATTAACAATGTTTTGTCCTTCTCCTATAAGGTTATTGTTTTGAAGATACAAAGTTTTGTTCTGACATTGATGATGTACTGCACTGATGTGATTTTTCTAGTATTGGCTCTGTACTTCAGTGCACAGGGCCTAACATGAAACAATGCAGTAAAAATGTCAGCTTTATTTCAAGCATTTTTACATCAAGATTGGCTGAGCCTTGCAGGAATGCATAGCCCTTTCACCTCAGCAGAATTGCAATTAAGTGTGCAAAGCAGGATACGATCCTAAATAAACTGCCATATTTTTAGCATTGATTTTCTAATTCTTTGCAATTTATGCCTGCATAGAATCTGTATGACACTATGTATTTTCTGTAGTGAGGTTCTGCAAGACCTTCAGTTCCTGCTTGTTTTGAGGCCCTTTTGCATTTGGTCTTGTCTTTAGAAGGTGAAATGCTGCTCGGTGGGGTTCAGGTTATGTGGCTGATCAATAACATTGAACTGTTTAGCCCTGTAAATTTCTATATGAATGTTGACAGGTTGTCTTGCTACAAGATAGAGCACTTATGTTGTGTAGACATCTGAACAAAATACCGCTGCACTATGTGACAGTAATATGCTGGCAAATAAGACTGCATTTCAAAGCAACTGGCCTGACTCAGTAGGTCAAGTAATGTGGCCTCTCTTTCTCTCTCTCTCAACACACACACATAGACACACAGTCATAGCCAGTTTACAACTTCTCTCTGATATACTGACGAATTATCAGAGCTTAGTTCCCACAGAAATGCTAAAAACACCCAAGATTTTCACCTTGTTTCCTGTGACCAGCAGTACGGCGGCGTCTGGTCGCTGTGGAGACAGCAGGGCCACCTCTGAGGACACGGGAAGAGCGTCCAAGAGGAAGTCCACATGCGGCTCCGTGTTGCCAAAACGGGAAACCACCACCTGCGGAGGATGCCAAAAAACAACAGGAGTGACCTCTCACATCCAGTCCTTTCAAAGCACATTCACTCTTTACTGTAAATGGCTTCATTCTCGTTCAGTCAGTGCTATAGTAAGAATGATGGTAAAATTTTCCTTGCTGGTTATATTTACAAGGAACAGTGATGTAAACGACTGTCTTCTGCAGAGGCTGACAGAGAATTAGCTATTTATTTTCAGGTATTGCCTTTAACACTGCCAAAATCAAAGGCTAAGTTTGTAATTTAGGCCTAAAATAAATATTCAATGAGGTCAAGGCTGTTTCAGAAATCCATGTGTTTTTTTTTAAAGTAGGTCATAAAATGTTAAATTACAGATCGTGCCCTGGAACTTTCCTCAGGAGAGAATCCGAATCAAAGGGCAGAGGAATCCAGAGGCAATCGCTGTAAAGGGACAGGCTCTGTTTGCTATGGATCCTGTAATAACTGCTGTTTTGCTTCTTTCAGTAGAAGATGACAAATTGAGGCATGATGACTGCGGCTGATGGCAGGGAGTGGGAGCAGACAAAAGTCATAGCTTCAGGCAAGAGAAGACGCAAAGACTGCTGCTGATGTGGCATGTTGAGAGGTGTTGGAACACTGGCTCTGTCTCCACACACCTGGACTAACATTTATCATCTGCAATTACAGGCCTCTAAGCTAGACCGAGTCTGAATAGTGTATTAGAGAGTGTGCTCCATTAATGATAACAAGATCCGTGCTTCAACACACCTGGTCTAAGTGCATGGTAAGCCTAGTGTGGTGTTGGTAGCACATTTAGTGGGTAGAAAGTGCACAGTGGTAGAGAAAGAGCCTGTGAAGTACTCTGGTTTTGTGTAAGACTAGAAAGTCTAGAGGTGCAGCTGCAGTGCGTGGTTTCATGTTTTCCCTGCTTTAACACACCTGAACTCATTAGCTAATTATCAGACCTTCTTGAGGTGACTTGGGTGAGTTAGAGTAGGAAAAACATGAAACTCTGAAGCCTGGGTATGTCTGCAGCAGTGGAGTTGGGAAACAGTGGTCATGTCTTGAGGCCAGAACACACCAAACTCAACAAACACTAACCAAAGTTTGGTACACCCTACTTTTGTATGAAAGGCTATAAAACATTCTCTCTGCATTTGCACTGTACTAAAATGTTTTCCTTAAATTACACTGCTCAAGAATGTTCTCCCAGCTCACAGTATCCTAGAATGTTCTATTCACTTGGGTTATCCGTTCTCATTCTAGAACAGTATAATGGCCAAAGCACAATGACCCAAAAAATTCCCCAACACCAATCTTTCTAATAATGACAGCTGGCTTTTACACAAGCCAAATTAACGAGTGTGAATGAGGGACTGCGTTCTACAACAATGTGAATTGGTGGACATTCTAGAACATTATGAATGGGGATGGGATATTCTAGATCAACGTGCATGGGGATAACATTCTGAAACATTATACATTTGAAAGAACACTCTAGATCAGTGTGCATGAGGAGAATATCCTAGAACACTGTGAATGGGGGAGAACATTCTAGATCAGTGTGAATGTGGCAGAACATTCTGGAACAATGAGGGAGGCATTCAAGTGACTCCTCACAGTCCTACACAGCTACTGTACACCAAACCAATGCTTGGATGTGTTGGTGTTTGATGGAGAATACTGGGATGGTGTGCTGTGAGCTGAAGCCAGTTAGCAAGTGCCAACAAAAGAATGTTGGATTTTGTTGTGGAAAGTTTGAATCCTGATGATGCCATAGTCATGACCGGCCAGATGTCCAAGAAACTGGCCCTGCTGTCTGGCTGGGTTAGTTTCTCTCTTTCGTGTTGATCATAGGCCTTGTTCACACTTGGTATTATCATCTGTCTCGAGTGATCTGATCAGTAAGAGGTACAGCTGTTTACCCCTCCAGTGTGGTTGGGTGCAATCAGATTTTGCGACAGGAGGAACGGTACCACACCCTTTTACTTTGTGAGTTTCTCACTGCATTCATTGTCATACAAAAATGTCCTTGTTTGTGTAAATGTAAGGGCTAGAAATGTTTATATCATTTGGATCGCTAACGAAGAGGATACCAAAAAATAAGCTACACAGCTGTTTTTGTCTTTGCTGTGATGATGCATTTCTTCAATGCTGTTGAGGACGCTTTGATTCTCTTTAGTGTTCACAATACAAATTTTATGTGGTCTTATGCATGCCTGCACACCTCTGAAGGTCGTCTCTGAGAAGCACTGTACCCTGTTCACACCTGTACTTAGCACTGTACACTTAGGATCGGATCACCCAGGATGCATGTTAATGCAAGGTGTAAACAGGGCCAAAGTCATGTTAGCATTTACGTTTACATTTATGGTATTTGGCAGAAGCTCTCATTCAGTCATAGCGACTTCAAATTTGACCATTTCACACAGTTAGGTGAAGGTAGTATTAGGAGTCTTGCCCAAGGACTCTTATAGGTATAGTGTAGAGTGTTAGTCTATTGCAGGCCTCGTAGGTCAAGTATAGAGAATGGCACAGCTAGCTATTTTCTCTATCAAAGTCCAGCTGCATATGATGTTGCTTCAGGGACAACTCAAAAATGTGACTGGTTACATGTGTCGCCTTGTGTGGAAGCTTGAGTGTCACTGTCCCATACTGGTAGCTTCTGTGCAATAGAGGAGACCTAGAGAGTGGGTACATCTATACTTAGTTTTCTGTGTGTTCCTTGGTGTTGGCAGGTAAAAAAATGTGTTTGAGATGATTATGGTATGACAAACTGTTTGTGCAGACTCTTCTATAAAGATTTTGTCCCCTAATTAGACAAACGTTTGACACATTCATTCATCCAGAGTAAGCCTACTGATTTCAGACACAGTAGGAGTGGAGACTAGTTTATCAGCTCAAGTTTTACATCTCTTGCAGTGATGCTTATGGTCAGATTAAATCTGACAAAGCCTTGGAAAATCAACAAAGCAGCTCTGGACAACAGACAGAGGCCTCACTGGACAAACATGATTTGCTACATTCGCCATGAAGAACATATGGACCATGTGGACTTTGAAGTGAAGTTTCCAGTAGCAATAAACCATCAGAGGCAATAGAGCCCCAGTAGCAATCCGGCTAAGCCCTGCCAAATTAAGCTGAGACAATCCAGAAAATGGATATAAATGAGCAGTTATTGTGGGAAGAATGCTGCGCACTCAAGGGAGAAATATATGAAGCAGAGCACTAATAACCGTGTGAATTACAGCTTATTGTGCTTGTAAGGGAAGTCCTGCTCAGAAGCACAAGGCTAGGTGTTGAGTCTTTCTCACTGACAGGGAGAGAAAGAAACACTTCCTCTCAGAATAAGGGTCTCTGGGGCTCTCTCTGTCAGAAACACGCTCAGAGGAAGACTTTCTCTTCAGAAAACACACACATAACATTTATGGGAGCTTGAAGATTTAACATTCACACAACAATCAGTGATATTTTGCCCTTCTGCCCTCATTTTGGCCTCATTCTCTTGACCAAGATCTGTTTGTCTCCTTCCTTTTTTCTATCTCTATCTCTTATGGTCCTTGAGTGGGACAGCTGGGCTACCGCTTGCCCGTTCCCAGGCCTCAATGTCGAGACAAAAGGGGCGAGAAACAGTCGAGGGGAAAAAATGCAGAAAAAAAGAGAACGAACGACAGCTGCAACTGTTCCAAGAAAATGCCGTGTGAGGACATGTCATCGAAGCCCAGTGCTTACTATTAACGCTCCGTTCAACTTCTCCACTCCATTTCCGTGCAGCTGTCACCTTCTCTCTGCACTAGTCATTTCTCAAACACTCTCTTACCCTATTTACAAAACATGAATGGCAGCCTCTGGAAAGATATTCTGTCTTAGAATCAACCAAAAGCAGCAACTGTTTTTGTTTTGTTTTATGTATTTCAGTGCTGTGTCGACGAATGAGTACGGACACAGCAGAGATTAGACTGGTGAATCAGAATACATGCATGTGAAGTGCACTCTCACAGTTAACACTGATAAGCAAGCAGGTATGTTTGAACAGATGTGTGATGAGCTGGAGTTTCTGGTAAAGTGCTTGAGAAGGTCAGAGGTGACTGCGGTGCAAACAGGAAAAGGCCGTGTTCTCCAAAATGGTCCTGGCACCTGCACGTTCATTCTTCAGGCCATTTTCACTGGTCACGTACCAGCATCCTGCCCATTTACTGCACACATACAATAACATGGGGAAATGCTGCTGGCCACTTCATGGCTCTGGAAGAAATATCTAAAGTGCCTTTGGGTTTTGGCCTATGTAAATGACCATTTTCTGTGCGTCCAGTACTACATATGAACATTCTAAGGAAATGGTTTCTCAGGGGAAATTTAAAATCAACTAACATGAATGGATTTGATCCCAATCCAAATGAAAAGTGCTTATTTCCTCCTCTTACATCCTGATTCATGCATCAGAATTTGTTATTGCTTCTCTCAACAGAAGAATTGGGAATGAATATCAGTTACAAAAACATTAATTTAACCATGAAAATTCCAGGCTTTTTACATCTTAAGGCTGTTATTCATTAATTGCACGGACTACAGTGCAAACTGGTGTAGCTATTCTTAGGTTATATTAGTGTGTAATAAACATTTGGATCCATTTAGTGAGTTAAAGAAGCTATAACATAAAAAAAACAGATCCCTGCAGTGCAGCGGCTGGAAGTGGCTCGAGGAAGTGACGCAGAACTGGGCCAGAGAATGGTGCAATGTTTAATGCAAAAATAAAACGTACACAAATGTAGCTAAAAAGCCAGACATGTTTGCTTCTTTAGTTTTGCACTGGAGCTATAAGGCAATTGTAGTTATCAGCAGCATGTTAAGTGCATGTCTAAATCACCACATACTTGCCTCAATTTGCCTCAAAGTTGACCAAACAGTCTTGCTTATGTGGTTTCCTCCGGTGCAAAACTGAAGAAGCAAACTTTAGACACCAAACATACTGTGGTAGATTACTTATGGAGGATGTGGAATATGGTATTTATTAGTTTTGGCTTTTGTTGCTGTGTATTTTTCACCTGGATAACCCTCCCTTCTGCAGTCCCCAGCGTAGCCACAGTGTGGTTCTGCATGGGCACCACAGTAATGGAGGTGAGGAGAACATTCCGGAATCGGCCGTTAAACCAGTCTTTACGTGGGTGCGTCCTGGTGACCTCCAGCCTGTAGCCCTTCTCATGTTTTCCACAGCCAAACGAATCACCTAAAGAGCTCTAAGGAAAAAAAAACAATAATTATTATCAAATGCAAATCTATTATTTTGAACCATGCTCTCATGTTAAGTTGAAAGACATTTTGAGCTCACAGCAAACAGTGATACCTCTGAATACCAAGAATTCCAAATGCTGGTGGCTACATAACAAGTATGATCTAATAGAGCTGTGCTCATGACATATTCAGCAGCACAAGTGTTAAACTGGCAGAGGCCTTCATGGTCTTCAAGTCCACCATGGCAAATGCATTTAATTGTTAAGACTGCTTGAGGAATGATGGAGGCAGCCTCGGAACAGAGAAGAGCTTTATGGAAACTTGGCATCTACTGTTTCATATAGCCTAATGTCAAAAGGAGCTAAGCTGTGTGTCTTCTCCCAACAGAGCTCGGATCATCCTTGCCGCATTCGGACGGCTGCGCTCACAGATGGCAGAAATTCATGAGAAACTCGGTGGAATGTGGAACTCTCCTGCTGCTCCTCTAGAGCTTTCACTCAGTCCAGCTTTCTTTGGCTGTGATCGCCACAACCTGTGGAGCTTGGTGGCTCATCTAGTGTTTCCTACATAGTTTGAGGGAGAACTGAACCAGTTCAGTCTGGTCTCTCAGTGTTCACTGAGTAGCTTTTACCAAACTTGTGGAAAGTCAGCCAGGTCGTTCTAGCTAGAACTAAATGTCCATGTTTACTTTGTAAGACTCCGGATCAGCAGCTATTAAAGGTGGAGAAAGAGGAGATTTCAGGCCTACTCTGTGATCAAGCCTCAGGGTCACAGACCCTAGCATGAAGGCCAAGGAGTCATCAATAATTAATGAAACTGGAGCCTGGCACTGCAGGGCATGACTAAAGGGCCCAACCAAAAGCAGGGAGCAGGCGGTTAATGATTAAGAGGGGGATCACAGCAACTCTGCTTAGCTGGTGTATTGTTACGCTGTATAATGGCGGCGGTAGCACAATTACAATGAAACACACACACGTGAGTTTAAATAGGCAGAAGAAAGTCAGTTTACCCCCCATACCAGCCAGAGGGTGTGAAAGAGAGGAGAGAAAGCTTCGATACAGGCAACAGTACTTAGACTACCAATCCCATAATTCTCTCTCCCTCTCTCTCTCTCTCTTTTCCACGGTGAATAAGACATATGAGTCACAGCCATGACTGCACTCAGAGTGAAACCCAGTTTTATTTGAGGGCATGTCTCAAAGGGAAGCTTTGAAGCTGTAGAGAACAATACAGCCGGGTGATAAATCAGGCCAGAGGACCACTGGGCCCTGCTCCCATTACAAACTCGAGTGGGCTCACTCTCACTAAGCCAGAGCCAGCCAGGGAGACACTTACTGCAGGTGAGATCGAGGTGGCTCTCTGCCCATCCCTTGGTGGACTGGCGGCATCATGATATCAGCCTTTACAATACTGATACTGCAAAATCCATTAGCCCAACCTCAGATGAGAATCTTTAACAGTGTCACAAATGTTCCCAGTGTATTTTTAACACATCTAGAAATTCAACTCAACTGATTTTAGTTTTTTGTTGTTATGCCAAATATAATGTACAAGTGTACAGTATGTTTGAAATGTGCAACATGCAATATCACAGTTGCATAAAAAGATGCAGAGGCCACCTTTACAGTGCAAGTGTGTAGTAAAACGAGTTCCTGCAGTTCTCATGTGTATTATTAATGTGCCATGTGCATTTTTACCAAACACAGATATTCGAGATGAGAATATTAAAATATTGAAAAGCACATAATACCTTGCAATGTAAGTGCAACATGGTATTTTGTCCATAATGTGCAGCCATGCTGGAGAAACACTATGGTGAAAGAGATATAGGAATGTGCACAGGGGAGAGCACCAGCTCTGTTATGATATGAGGTGGAGAGAGACATGAGTGAGAGGAGGTGCAGCACAGTCAGACACTGTGGATAGGCTGCTTTGATGTGTCTTCAGCCTCATAAGGTTTGCTTTTTGGATTGTGCATACAATCCAGCCAGTGATCCATCATACGACAACACGACTGCTGCTTTGACCTGGACACAAGCATACAGTCACTGTTGGAACAAAACTTTGTATTTCTGTTATTGCTGTTTTTCATTTTTTTACGTAATTTTATAAATACTCTTTGCTTTTTTACATTGTGTCAAAATGTCCAATGGACCGATAGAAATGGCCCAAGATTACTTCTTGTAGTGGCCCAAAATCTTCGTATGGAAACTAACATTGAAAGTTAGGGACCTTTTTTTCTTCTATGGTAATGTTACTTTTTTGTTGGAGTGGAACTCCATACAGGTCTCCCTGAGGTTTGCTCACTTCATGAGAAGATTTATGCATGTCTTAAAGCACAAACAAGGCTGTGAATAGTATTTTCATAGCCAATAAACATTAGTTGTGTGGTTGATAGACGTGGATGGAAAAATCTGAAGGAATTAAATTACTGAAAAAAGAAAAATACAAGGATCAATGGTAGAAAGTGAAAACCCTGAACAGTGTTTTGACAGGCTTCAGCAGCTATTACCATGAGCCCTTCTCCACTGGCCTAGAGTCAGGGTCTGTCCCACAGGGCCTAATGTTGTCAAAGCACTAAGGGGTTTCTCCAGGTTATGAGGTTATGTGTGCTTTACTGGCGGCCTCATCTTGCACTCCCTTTCTCTCTTTCCTCCACCATCTTTTCTACTATGGTGCTTTTCTTTGCCTTACCGTGACTTCACAGGTGATTTTTTTTGTCTTTCAAATCCAAAAATCGTGTCCTCCAGCAAAGTGTTATTACAGTGATGAAAAGCAAGAGCTGTGGTAAAGGCAGCAGCAGCTCAATTGTGGCTCTGGTTCAGCGTTTAAAGCAGCTCGTATTGTGTCCAGCACAATGGTAGGGTGATAGGGTTACTGAGACCAACCTTTGGTGTTTTACAGCTTTATGGCCTTTGGCATCACCTCAGTGTGCCTAATCTGAGTGTAAGGAGATCAGCAGGCCAAAATGTCTCCTCCACACGCTCTCTGCTTCCCCTCAGGCTGAGGTACAGTGAGGTACAGTCTGCTACAGCCGTGCACAGAGCTGAGGCCACTCGGGCTCAACACTTCAGCCCATCAGCTGCCCTTTGACTAAAATAACATCACCTTTGACCCCATGCAGCATGTGCAGCCTGTGCATGTGTTTGTGTGTAGTAGTAGAAGTTCTAATTGTTAGAACGGGGGCCCCACCTGCACTTTGTAAAGCATGTCACAGAGCAACCTGACTCTGGTGGTGGTGAAGTTTCTTGGATTTCTCAGTCGTGGGGATAAGCAGTGGTGGGTAATTAGAGAAGCTGGCAATAAAGTCGGATTAGAGCCCGGCACCATGCAGGGGGCTGGACCAGTGATTGCAGTCTTAAAGTCTACACAAGATCTAAACAACTTGAAAAAACCTACAGCAAACATATTCAGAATAACATCTACACTGCTAGAAATATACCCAGATCACCTTTCAACAAAACTGAAAGGATATACTGTGCTGAAAACTAGGAAAAGGTGATAACAAACACAAAAAGAGAACAACAGAGAACAGTTGGTCATCTAAGGCAATTAATTTAATATTTTTTAGCTATATTTATCCCTTTTGTGAATTTTTTTGGCATTTCAAAAACTGAGGCTACAGACGGTGACACTGTGCTAGGCTTTCAGCTTTTGTTTTGCTATGTTCACCATATCAAGCAGGGTGATGTGTTTTCAAGTGATATCAAGCCTGTAGCAGAGAGGTTTTTGGATGTTGTACCTGTTGATACTTCGCATGAACAGTGATTACAAATCACTTGTCTAAAGTCCCTCACAGAAACTATGGAATACAAACACACGGCCAACATTTTCACTGTTGATCTGCTGCTGCTCAAACTGTTCAACCGGCGCAAAAAAGTATGTGAGAGTATTTCTTAATTTCATTACTATAAAAAGTTGCCAATATTTTGTCATGGTCTGTACATTAAAATGCTTTTGGCAAGGCTCAGGAAATTACAGCACAAATAACAGTGGAACAGATGGGGGGGCACACAAGGGAACCTAGTAAATTACTACATACAGATACACACAGATATTATACATATGTCAATAATAAAATGTGTGCAATACCAAACCAACTGTACTGTGGCAGTGCAAAAATGTAAACTAAATAGCACTGTCTATACAGCGGCTTAATGATGGTCCATGTAGACAAACACAAAGGTACAGAGTGTGTCTGTAGCTTTAACTATAAGGTGAATAATACAAAAGTATTGCAAGATTTTTCATTTGTTCTTCCTAATCTCTTCTCTGTGTTCTTTCAGGCTCTTCTCCCTCCCTCTAACTACCCCCCCCCCACTTGACTCCTTTCAACACTCAAGTGATACATCAGCAGAAGGCTTTGTTCCTTGCTAAAGTTTCCTGCTGAGTAACATGGCCCAGTCCAGTTAAACAGCTCAACATGCCCCATAATCATATAATTCAACAGTGCACTTACATTATACTCCACAATAAGGTTAGATGTTTTTCATGTTCCCTTCAGTAGTCTATACTGCTGAAAATAATAAGTCTAATACTTCAGACTGAGCTAACAGATGATGAAAGCTGACACTAATTGGAGGAACTGTACAAAAACAGTCTTAACTATGGAAAATGTTCAAAACCACATTTTTAATATACTGCGACAGTCCTTCAAGTAGGACAAATGCTGGAGTTGCTTTTCGACTTCTTAACCAAAACATCAGTCAAGTGATACAGAGTGTCTCCAACATATTTACAGACACACTCCTGATCCTTGCACATCAATCCAATTTGAGAAACAGGCGAAAATAAAAATAGAAGATAATTTAATGTGGAATCACTCCATAAAGCCAGCCTCTCATTATTTACTGCCACAGTGTATATTGGTTTGAAGCATTAGTGGAAAGTGTCCATTCATTACAGCAAAACAAGATGAGCCACTGTTAAAGGATTCCTCCTTTCCACAACCATGTTACAGCACACAGCCAATACGGGTGGCGATGGGTGTGACCGAAGGGCAAAA